GGCCTGCTTCAGGTAGAGCCACAGGGCAGGGGTGGGACTGAAAGCTGCGTCTTGGTCCCTAAGGATGTGCGCCGCCTCCCGCCTAGGCACGGGGGGAGTTGCGCCTTGCTTGGTTGGAGCCGCTGCCCGCACGGCACATCACCAGGGTCTCCTGAGCCCTTCCTGCGTGCCCAGCCCCCTGTCCACATGAGCTGTGGATTCTGGAAGAAGCGGACCTCGGGTTCCATTCCCAGGAACCCTGGGAAAGGGTGTCAGGGCAAAAGGACAGAAAGATACAAACCCGGCCTTGATGGCTTCCCAGATGGACACACCATTGACACCCCTTTGGGATGGTCAGAGCCCGATGGGAGCTCAGAGCTGTCAAACCGTGGGTGACGCCAGTGGACTGGGGAAACCCTAGCGCACAACATGGCCAGGGAGGTGGGACAGGGGGTGGGTCCTGACTGTGGGTGGCGGCAGGGGCACCCGGGGGAGCCTGCCACACTCTCTCTTCCTCACAGAGGAGGATTGCCAAAAGTACATTCTGAAGCAGCAGCAGGAGGAGTCTGAGAAGCCCTTACAGGTGGCCGCTGTCGACAGCAGCGTCCCCCGGACCGCAGAGCTGGCGGGCATCACCACACTCGACGACCCCATGGGTAAGGGCCTATACGTCTCCCCTGATCCAGGTGGGACAGGTGGGCCATGGGACACGGTGGTGTGTAGCGCATGACTGTTGAAAGCAGATGAACTGTGGCACGTTGGGCGAGTCACTTAATCTCTACGAGCCTGTTTCTTCACCTAAGAAATGGGAATAATAATAATAATAGTCCTGCCTCCGGGTGGGTATGAAACTCTCATGAAATGATGTGTCTGTCTCATGGTGAACCCAGGGCTTGGCCCAGGGCAGGGGTGCTGGGGGGAGGCTCGTCTTTCCTCTGCTGGGGACAGCACTTTTTCTGAGTAGTGTCATCACAGGGTTGGTTTGGGGACCAGGACCAGGGTCACCTGAACTGGGGGCTCCTGGCTGGCCTTCTCCCCAGCCTTCCACAGAGCTCTGACCATTATCCTTATTCTCTGCACCCAGGGCAAATGCCTGAGCGATTCGATGCCTTCATCTGCTACTGCTCCAACGACATCCAGTTTGTACATGAGATGATCCAGCAGCTGGAACAGACAAACTACCGGCTGAAGTTGTGTGTGTCCGACAGGGATGTCCTGCCTGGCACCTGTGTCTGGTCTATTGCCAGTGAGCTCATTGAGAAGAGGTTGGCTCGGTGGCCAGGGAGCGAGTGGGTGGGGTGCACAAGGCCCGGCCCGGGGACCCAGAGGCTGGGATTTTCCCAGCTGGGTCCTGTCTAGCCTAGGCACAGTGGGCTCCTCCCATGGCCGTCCCTTGGGTTGCCACAGTGCCTCCACTCTTCCCTAGGTGCCGCCGGATGGTGGTAGTTGTCTCAGATGATTACCTGCAAAGCAAGGAATGTGACTTCCAGACTAAGTTTGCACTCAGCCAGTAAAGTACACAATTCCTAAATGATTTGATAACAGACTTTAATGAAGTATAATTTATATGCAGTAAAGTACACAATTCCTAAATGATTTGATAACAGACTTTAATGAAGTATAATTTATATGCAGTAAAGTACACAATTCCTAAATGATTTGATAACAGACTTTAATGAAGTATAATTTATATGCAGTAAAGTACACAATTCCTAAATGATTTGATAACAGACTTTAATGAAGTATAATTTATATGCAGTAAAGTACACAATTCCTAAATGATTTGATAACAGACTTTAATGAAGTATAATTTATATGCAGTAAAGTACACAATTCCTAAATGATTTGATAACAGACTTTAATGAAGTATAATTTATATGCAGTAAAGTACACAATTCCTAAATGATTTGATAACAGACTTTAATGAAGTATAATTTATATGCAGTAAAGTACACAATTCCTAAATGATTTGATAACAGACTTTAATGAAGTATAATTTATATGCAGTAAAGTACACAATTCCTAAATGATTTGATAACAGACTTTAATGAAGTATAATTTATATGCAGTAAAGTACACAATTCCTAAATGATTTGATAACAGACTTTAATGAAGTATAATTTATATGCAGTAAAGTACACAATTCCTAAATGATTTGATAACAGACTTTAATGAAGTATAATTTATATGCAGTAAAGTACACAATTCCTAAATGATTTGATAACAGACTTTAATGAAGTATAATTTATATGCAGTAAAGTACACAATTCCTAAATGAATATTGCTCAGTACCGTTTTGCATAGGATTCTTGTGTCCTCAATGCCAGTGGTCAATTTTAGAACTACAAACCTTTGGCATCATAAGTAATCTGCACTTAGGTGCCATCTGTCAATAAGTGAACTACTAGCATCTAATAGTGACACTGCAGGAGGAGGAGAAGCGCGATAGCGCTCCCGGCACTTTTGGCGAAAGACAGGAGGAGCGCGATTGCGCTCCCCGGCACTAAAAGGGTTAATCCCTGGTCTGGGGACTGGCCCAACGCCACTGTGGGATGAGGGCCTGGTGCCAGCTCTGCACCCCTTGGCTTGCAGGTGCCCATCAGAAGCGATTGATCCCCGTCAAGTACAAGGCAATGAAGAAAGAGTTCCCGAGCATCCTGCGGTTCATCACTGTCTGTGACTACACCAACCCCTGCACCAAGTCCTGGTTCTGGACTCGCCTGGCCAAAGCCCTGGCCCTGCCCTGAAGACTGCCCTGGTACCCTGGGTGTCCGTGTGTCTGTCTGCCTGTCCATGTACTTCTGCCTCTGCCTCCCACTGAGGTTGTAGGGGGATGCCTTGAGATGCCAACTCCACGGGCACATCTGCAGCCACTGCACACTTCTGGACATCACATCTCATGTCCTGCGTGGAACCAGCGGCTGCCAGTGGATGTGCCAGCTGGGACTAAGAGGCACCATCTCTGACCCATCCACTCACCTGAGACCTCAGTTTCTCTGCCTGGTAACTCGTGGGGTGGGGAGAAGAGGCAGTAGCTATGTTCGAATCACTGTGGGAAATGGTGGGGCCTTGTTCTGGGTCTCCTAGGGGAGCCAGATCTTGGCTGGGAGAGAGCTGGCCGCTGGAGCCCTAAGCTGGTTACTGCCAGGGCAGTTGCTTCCACAATGGTGCCTACTCATTGCCCACCTCACACCTCACTTCCTCCTGCCCCACGGGGTAGATACTGGCCTAGCACAGAGATCCCGCCTTTGAGCCTGATTCCCCCGTGGGTTCACCTCCATCTGCCTCTTGGATTCCTCCCAGCCTCTTCCCACCTTCAGTGTGACAAGTCCTCGGAGCGGTTAGGGCTGCTTTTCACTTCAGCCCATCCAGGTGCCTGTGGTCACCTCCCGCCCCTGCCTGGCATAGGATGGGACCCACCAAGTTGGGTTCCGAGGCTCGATCACCCTGGTGGGATAAGCAAGAAACCTCCCTCCCTGGGCCGCCCACAGAGCTTTCCCACCGACTTCTCGTACCTTGATTGCCTTACAAAGTTGCTTGCTGGGACCAGTTTACAAACCACATAAGAGCCTCCTGCCCCAGAGCTTGTGGGCACATGGACATACATACATTCAAACACACACATCATTTTCCCCACTTCATTTTGCTGGGACCAGTTTACAAACCACATAAGAGCCTCCTACCCCAGAGCTTGTGGGCACATGGACATACACATACATACATGCAAACACACACATCATTTTCCCCACTGCATGGAAACCAACCTCTAAACAGGACCAAATATGCCAGTGTTTACGCCCTCAGAGAAGCACAGAGCAGGGCAGAGAGCTGCTTGACCTCACACAGCCGGCCAGCGGCAGACGGCTGTTGTCCTTCTCTCATTCCAGGGAATGTGTACAGCACTGAGTCTCAAGCTCTCCTTTGGGGAGAAGATATCATGGTCTCAGGTCTCTGTCCCAGAGCAGACCCCAGGACCCTAAATCTAATAGAAAGTGCGTGTCTTTGTTCCACCTCCAGCATGGCTGGCGCGGGATCCCTGCCCTTGGGGTCTAGGGAAGGCCTGAAGGCCCCTCTCTGCACGATCATGATGAAGCACTTAGCTCCATGCACCTATCCCCGCTTTGATACTGGGGAGTATTTTTTAAAGATTTCCAGGAAGTAATTCACACCTATTTTGTACGCGTTGCGAGAAGTTCCAAGAGAGCTGAGAAATGTCTGTGTCATTTCTCCTGTATCCTGGGTTTTTAATAAAGACTTTTCTATTTTGGGAACAGCAGGTTTCATTTGTGTCTGGAAGGCGTTTGGAAGCGGTAACCTGGGATAAGGCTCTCCTGGGTAAGAGAAACTGGCCCCTTGGGTAGGTTCCTGTGGGTTTGGCATGAGTTTCCTGAAGGCTGGACCTCTCTTCCTAGGTCCCAGGCCTCACGGGGACACAGGCAGAACCAGGAATAGCCGTCGCAGCTCCAGGCGCGGGGAGACTGCTTGCCCCCACCAGGTTGGCCTTCCCTGGATGGTGCCATGCTCCTGGGTCCTGGCCCACCAGTGGGTGGGGGCTGCTCTTCTGGGTTCTCCAAGGAGAGTCGGTGAACCCCCCTTCCAGCCACAGATCTCGGGAGAAACTCAGTTGTCATCAGTAATGGTCATCCTTGGCATATCTGCGTTACCCCTAAAGATGCTGCTCTATCTGAGTAGATCACTTTTTCACTGTTCATGCAAGAACATTTGGAAAATATACAGGAAAAAAAATCAGCCATAATCCTAATCCCAGAGATAACTCTAGTGATCTTTTCGAGTGCCCAGACATCAGCACCCATAGCTTTTCCCTCAGTGAGTCGTGTTACCATGACTCCCGGATGCTGAAGGCTCCCCAGCCTTGCTTTGCCCTCAGGGACTCCTAGGGAGGCTCCAAGTGTTCAGGGCAGCTCTGGACCTTCCTCTCCCTGGGGAGCAGAGCCACAGTGTGGTCCTCTTGGTGCCCCCAGGATTTACCTTTTGCCACTCTTGGTGGTTGGGGGGGCAGTCTTTGGGTGGGGGGGTGTCTCTGAGTAACACAGTGCATCATGGGAAAAGCCTCTGTTCTCTCAGGCCAGGCTGGTGACCCAAATGTGCTCACCACGCCCCCATCTGATCTTCACACCCCTTTCGCCTTCCCTCCTCCAGTGTCCACCTCCACATAAGTGGCTTCCCAGATACCCAGATAGTTTCCTCTTCTTAATTTTGATTTCCTCTGGATTAGACAATAAGACATTAATACAGTGTGACTTTGTTGGATCCTGGTTCAAGCAGACCAATTATAAAAAGACCTTTTTTTCATATGTCTGATTAATGTCCAGAATCCTATATAATAAAAGGCTAATATGCAAATAGACCGAATGGCAGAACAACTGGTTGCTATGACATGTGCTGACCACCAGGGGGTGTGTGCAGAACATGGCAGGCATTGGCCACAGTGGGATGGTGGAGCAGGTGAGCAGGGGCACCAGACCAAGGCGGGTGCCAGTTGCTGTCATCGGGGCGAGCCTCTGGTGGTTACTGAAAATTCTTTGCTCCGGCGCACTGTGGTTCTGCCTGGCACTCGCACCCGCTGCGAGCACCAGCCCTGCTTGCACCTGCAGCTGGTGGCAGCTCCCGCCCTGATCGCCGCTGAGGGCTTTTCCACCTCCCCCTGCTCCCAAGGGGTGATTGGGACAGCAGCCACCGTTCGCACCCGGTGCTGGTGCCGGCCCCAATCGCTCCGCACCATCAGCGAGTGAGAGTGGGGCAGCGCTGTCAGTGCGAGGGAGCAGTGGCAGGAGCGGGGCTGTAGCAGGAGGGGCCGGGCAGGGGCACGGAGCCTTGCGGCCCTCAGTTCCTTACAAGGTGCACGAATTTGTGCACTGGGCCCCTAGTATTATATAAAGGACTATATATAACTCAAAATCAACCCAATTAAAAAATGGACTAGGGGCCTGAATAGACATTGCTCCAAAGAAGATAAACAAATGACTAGTAAGTATATGAAAAAAATGCTCAACATCACTACCCATTAAGGAGTGGTGTTAAGCTTGCTAAAACAGAAGATTTAAGTAAGATCCAGAGTCTCATAACATAGTACTCAAAGTGTCCAGGATTGAAAATCACAATGCTTAGAACCTGGAAAATCTCAATGTGAATGAGACAATCAACAGATAATAACACCAAGATGATACAGACATTGAAATTATCTGACAAGGATTTTAAAGCGGCTGGTGTAAAAATGCTTCAATGAGAGAAAAAAAAACAGTCTTAGCAGAGGAATACAAGAGATGAAGAACTAAATTGAAATTTTAGAACCGAAACAAAACAAACAAAAAAACCTGAAATACAAAGCTCACTGGATAGAAAGGACAGAGGAAAGAATCAATGAACTTGAAGACTGAATAATATAAGTCACCCAAACTAAACTACAGAGAGAGAATAGGCTGAAAACAATAGAGTCTCGGGAATATGTAAGACTATAAGAAAAGATCTAATATTTGTGTCACTGGAGTTCTAAAAGAAGAGAAGAAGGCAGAACTTAAGTATTCAAGTAAATAAGGCTGAAGATTTTCCAAATATGGCAGACATAAACCCACAGACTCAAGAATCTGATCAAATCCAAACTAGGGTAACCCAAAGAAATCCATGCCAAGATACATCATAGTCAAACCTCTGAAAACTGAAGACAAAGAGAAAATCTTGAAAGCAGCCAGAGATAAATGACACCTTCCCTAGCATGGAAAAAACCCATCTAAATGATATCAAATATCTCATCAGAAGGAAGTGGCACAGCATTTTTAAAGCTCTCAAAGAAAACATTGTCAACTCAAAATCCTGTATCCAGTGAAAACCAGGAAGAAGAAATCAAGCCCTGGCCAGGTAGCTCAGCTGGTTAGAGCATCGTCCCAATATACCAAGGTTGTGGGTTCGATCCCTGGTCAGGGCACATACAAGAATCAACCAATGAATACATAAATAAGTGGAACAACAAATCGTTCTCTCTCTCTCAAAAAAAAATTGTTTTTTAAAAATCAAGACATTCTCAGAATTAGAAAAACCACTGAGAATTTATCAACAGTAGACCTACCCTTAAAAAAAATAGCTAAAGGAAATTTTTGAAACAATATAAATGATTTTAAAAGAATCTTGGAACATCAAGAAGGAAGAACAAGAGAGTAAAAAATAAGTGAATACAATACGCTTTACTTCTCCTCTTGAGTTTTCTAAATTATGTCTGTTGATTTAAGCAAAAGATTCGTGGTCGTGTGCAGGATAGAGTAGGGAAGTTGATAAGCGCAGTGGTAATTTCTGCTTCCAGCAGTTGCACAAACTAAACGGAGAAATGAAGTAACTGCTGCCTGGGAGGAGGAACTCTGCAGTCCCCACGATTTCCTCTTTCCTCAAAAGATCAAAGCCCACGAGGCCCAGTTCAGCGCCCCCTGTCCTGCACCCTCATACATTTTATGTAGATAACAATATTTAAGATAGTCATAAATACGGGAGAGGGAAGGGGCTTAAAGGGAAGAAAGGTTTCTATACTTGACTAAAACTGGTAATGTCGAGACAAGCAGAACTAGGTAAGTTATATACAAATAATGTTATCCCTAGGGCACCTACTAAATATCTGTAGAGATACTCTCCAAACATTATAGGTAAATCAAAATGAAATTCTACGTGAAATGACCAAAATTATAGAATGGAGAATAGACTAGTGATTGTCAGGAGTTGGGGTTGGTGGAGGGGGGCCGGGTTGTGGGGTGTGTTATGAAGAGGTAGGGGAGTGAGATCTGGAAGGTGTTGTAATAGTTCTGCATCTCCATTGTAGTGGTGGTTAGATCTACACAGGTTATAAAAATGGCAAAGAACTGTACAGACACATTGTACCAATGTCGAGTTCCTGGTTTTGATATTGTACTATAGTTACAGAAGATGTATCCATTGTGGGAAATGTCCCTGCATTATTCGTGCAACTTCCTGTGAATATAATTATCTCAAGATAATATGTTTTTAAAGAATTTAACATAAAAATGAAGTAAAAACCAAAGCCCCTGGTTGCGTATGCAATAGTTAAAGCTTAATTTTCCAATTTGTCCCCCCAGTTTTATTGAGATATAATTAACACGCAGCACTATATAAGTTTAAGCTGTAGAGCATAATGACTTTACTTACACATATTGTGAAATAATTACCACTAGTTAATATCCATCATCTCATACAGAATCAAGAGAGAGAGAGAGAGAGAGAGAGAGAGAGAGAGAGAGAGAGAGAGAGAGAGAGAG